TTTTCAACGTTTATTTATTTTTGGGACAGAGAGAGACAGAGCATGAACGGGGGAGGGGCAGAGAGAGAGGGAGACACAGAATCGGAAACAGGCTCCAGGCTCTGAGCCATCAGCCCAGAGCCTGACGCGGGGCTCGAACTCACGGACCGCGAGATCATGACCTGGCTGAAGTCGGACGCTTAACCGACTGCGCCACCCAGGCGCCCCCAAAAAAATTTTTTTTAAAGGTGATTTAATGTTTACTTATTTCTGAGAGTGAGACAGAGCATGAGTGGGGTAGGGACAGAGAGCGAGATGAAGACACAGAATCGGAAACAGGCTCCACGCTCTGAGCTGTCAGCACAGAACCTGATGCGGGGCTTGAACTTGGGAACAGCAAGATCATGACCTGAGCCAAAGTCGGACACTTAACTGACTGAGCCACCCAGGTGCCCCTCTTCTTTTTTTGTCTTTACAATTAGAGAGCCCATGCAACCATACCAAGTATTCACATGCCTACTATATATGGAATCAAGAAATATACGTAATTTTTCTTTAACAGGGAGAAAAAAAGCCCTTCAATTTTTCTGGTTTTATTTCAAATTATTTCCCTTTCCTAATATCAGAGAAAGCCATGTAATAAACTATTAATATCTCTGTTAATCAATTAAATACTGCATTAACAAATACTAGTGGTAATCATTTATGTACAAACTATATTTTACTTTTAAAACCAAGATTAACCACATTAGTAAACAAAGGCATGTGAATGGAGACTTGAAAAATCAGTGTTGTTCTTCAAATCATCTATCTATAAGTAAATGGAATACCTTCTGAAAGGAATCTTCATCTGTTATATCATAAACTAAAATAGCTCCATTTGAATCTCTGTAGTAAATTGGACCCAATGCATGGAATCTCTCTTGACCTGCTGTATCCTAAATAAAGCAACAAATACTTATTAGATCAGAAGAAAAAAATAAATCTGCTATTGCAACTATAGTTAACTTTTAATTAACTGGAAAGTGGTGAAGTTACAGATAATCTCAAAGCACTGTTAAAAGAAAAAAGAACAGGTTACAAAAATTCTTTAGAAGTTATAACCAATAATGTTTTACCATTATACAAAGGTTACTTCTTCCCTCCCAACCCTCTTACTCCTCATCAATCTTCCCACACCCACTAAAAAAAAAAAACAAACAGTTCAATTGCCAGAGGATCAGAATGCCCAAGATGGCATTGTAAGCCAGGAACAGGCCTTGCCCTAAATTTAGGTTTCCCACAAAGGGAGAAAACAAGGAAAGACAGTATGCACCAGGACCACTGGCCAAAAGGTAGTCTGATGCATTACCCTACTCTCTACTAGGCACTCCCTTGGAAAGCTGGAAAATGAAAACACAGAGGGAAAATAGGACAGTCAGGCTGTTCACCCACCTTGTTCTTTCTCTGATATGGAATCCCTGAGTTTACTCTTTCCCCAACTCAAAGGTTATGATAAGCAATATTCGTGTATACAACTGTATAATTATTAGCCTGATTTCATAAAAAAAAAATGTTTATTAAAAAAAAGTTTCAGCTAAACTTCACTTAAAAAAAGAAATTCAAATTCCTATTCTTTCAGCCAATTAGTTATTAAATTATCAAGAATAGCAGAAGACTTCACAAACTCAATTGAAAAGGTTAACTTACCCATATAGCAAGGTTTACTCTTTTCCCACCAATATTTAACTTCTTTGTCAAGAATGATGCCTAAGAAAAGAGATATACATTAAACAATATTTCATATGTTTCTTACCCTAAAAACTATAGATGGAAGAATAATCTCAATAGGAAACAAGTTATCTGAGAGAAAAAGTAATCACTGATTTTTTATTAATGACTAAACATTACTTTCACTGAAGACAAAACATTAGTTATATCCTAATATAAAAAACAGTTTTTTGTTTTATGGACACAAGTTATGAAAAATAAGAAGAAAAAATGGTAATTAAACATTTTCCTAGATCTTCCCCATAAAAATTTCTCTTAGAGCATTTCATTTAATGTCACCTTACCCAATCATTGTAGAAAGAACTAAGAGATTTCTAAGTGAGATAAAACATATATTTACTGGTAGTTTACTTAACTGTATGAATACCAATATTACTTGAAATATTCCCGCAATTATTTTATAATTCAATTATTTAATTCATATCTAATAATTATCTTAAGTACTAATGTCACAGAAATGAAAGGAAATGGTTCCAGCCTTCAAGGAGCTTACAGTCTATATACAGCAGAAATAAACATGTAAAGAAAAGTAGTATCATGTGACAATTGTTAAAATGGGAGGGTCTTGCCAAGTACACTCTAAAGACAGTACTGAGAAAGGAAATGTAAAGCCTGCCTGGATGAGAGAAGGCTTCAGAGAGAAGGTGATGGTCTCCCCTTTAGGAGTAGTATGGGTTTTCCCTGACAGATGGGTAAAGCCACCAAAGCCTGAACATAGAACTCCCTCCCCATGGAGAACTCCAAGGTAGTACAGTCAATGCCAGAGATGAGACTACAGAAAAAGACAAAGGCTGAATGAATAAAAAAAAAAAAAAAAAAAAAAAAAAAAAAAAAAAAAAAAAAGTGCTAGGGTTCCATGTCTAGATGTAGAGACTTTACTTTGTGGGTCTTAATAACACCTGTTCCAAGACTCTAGACGTGTCTTTTAATGTATACTACAGTCAGATGTATTTGGGATATGCAGCATATTGCTCTGCATTCCCTCTGTACATTCATAATACACACTGGCACACTAAGATTCTGCCAAAAAAAAAAAAAAACTACATCTATTCGAGCATTTCCCAAACTCATTTGACCTATTTTCCCCTAGAGAAATGCCTAATTCATCCTAAGGAATACGTGTTAAGAATAATATTGTTGATGATGGAGAATCATTGAAGGGATTTTAAGCACTGGGGCAGTATAAGATCTATATTTTAAGAGAATGACTCTGCAGTAGGAGAGGAGGTTGGACTGGAAAGGACAGGACTGGACCTGGAAACAGGCAACTATTACAGAGTTGGAGAGAAAAACAAAAAGGGCCTGAACCAAGTCCACAAAGATAGAAAAGAGAAAACAGAATCTAGAGTGATTGAACAGGAAATATAATCAGAACTCAGAGTCAGGTGACATTTAAAAAAAGGAACAGAGAACCAAGTCCAAAGTTATGCAGAGACAGTCACATTTAGGTGTATCTAAAAGAAAGTACAGAGAAATAAGGTAAAACAGGTAAAAAGCTAAGATGGTGAATTATTACTGAAGGAGGAACCTACATTTCAGGAAGTGCTTTCTGCTGTATGTACACCAAGGAAATTTAGAACTAAGAAAAAGCCAATGAATTTAGTGATTAACAAAGGAATACACAGATAGATACAAATGGCAGAGTGGAGATCAAATCCAGGAATGCCTTCCTTCAAAACCTTAACTACACTAAAGACATTTTATTAAATGAAACAAAGATTATATAGAAAGGGGCATATATAAAATAAATGGCAAAATAACAAAAGAAATAACTTGGAAAATGAGAAGACCAAATACATATTTCCACAATGAATTTAAATTTTTTTTTTTTTAACGTTTATTTATTTTTTGGGGGGACAGAGAGAGACAGAGCATGAACGGGGGAGGGGCAGAGAGAGAGGGAGACACAGAATCAGAAACAGGGTCCAGGCTCTGAGCCATCAGCCCAGAGCCTGACGCGGGGCTCGAACTCACGGATCGTGAGATCGTGACCTGGCTGAAGTCGGACGCTTAACCGACTGCGCCACCCAGGCGCCCCCACAATGAATTTAAATAAAGGACCTCTCCCACTCATTAGAGCATAGGGGCTAAGAATATGAACTTTGAATCAGAACTGTGGATTTGAATCTTACCTTGCAACTTATTAGTTGTGTGACCTACTTGACATCAACCATTTTCATGGGTTCAACATCAATGCTATATGAAGAAACTCAAAATCTGAATCCCACCCAAATATTTAATATATAGGTCAACTTAAATGCCTCTCGTCTCAAATATATTTAAAATTAAACTGATCTTCCTTACAAAATTGGCTTTCCATTCCAACTTCAGTATTTTGATCACATTCTCAAGTCACTGAGGTTTAGACTCTTAGAAATATTCTAAGTATTCTTCCTCCTCTGACATTCCATATTCCAAAAACAAAAACAAAACTACCAAGACTTGTCTTCATATTTCTTCTGGAGTTCTCTGACAACCAATCTCATACTACTATAACAACTTTGGTCTCACCTCACACTCTAGTCAACATGCCAAATTATCTTCCTAAAGTCTCCATGATTAAAAAAATCTTACCATAACTCATTCAAGTATTCTAGTAAGATATCATTTTTAATAAGTTTGCTTAAACTATATCCCTGCTGGCAGCTAATATCAAAATAACTTTTTTGTCATGAGTTTTGTGAGGATTTCTCAATAGACAGGAATCAATTAGAGCTGATAAAGCTCCATCCTTTCCCTTTTTACCATTTCCTTGGAAACTTACCACCACTTTCCCATGGTGAGTTTAAGGGACAGTGTTGAGTCTCTCCTAAGGAACCCTGGATATACAATTTTATGGAAAGCTGCTCATCAATATTGATTATAAAAGAAAAAAGGAATAGCCTAAGTGTCCCTCAGTATGCAATTTTTAAAAGGTACACAGACAGCCCATCCATACAGTGAAACTCTACACTTTTATTTCTACTACTATTGCTAATACTAGCTAACAATTACCAAATGCTTACTTTCCACCAAGAACTGTGCTGAGTACTTTTTATAAGAGCATTCATAAGCTTTTCCTTTATAAAAGTTAGGGAACCATAATCTACAACTAAAAATCTCTAAGTGTTATCTTTGTATCCAAGGGCCTCCACAATTGTCCATGTCCATAGCTTCTAGTATTTTTCCACTGACTTTCCAGCTTATATGGTTTATATACATTCCTCCAATTCTGCTTGTCCATAAAATTCCCCCTCTAATTTGGATGTATTTTTTTCTCTATTTGAATCCCATCTATCCAAACTCTTCTTTCTTGAATTTTTAAGCTTTCTCATACCATCCATACAACCCACGATGAGTTTCTCTATCCTGAAGAATTACAGGGAACCTAATCTTTAATATATACCATATACTGCCTTGCTTATATTGTAAATTATCTTTTCATGGGTAGAAATATGTCAACTAGATTACATATTTTTATTTAACATGCTCATGAGGCTTACAATGAAATGGTCAGTATTCTAAGAGCTTTTCAATATTAACTCATTCAATGTCATAGTACGCTGAGTTAGATATAATTATCCAAATATTACAGATGTGGAAACTTAAGACACAGGAAGGGTATCTTGCCCAAGGTCACATAGTAAGTGACAGAGTAGGATTTGAAATCCAGGTAGGCTGGCTCCAGACACGACTCATAACCACTATGCTAGCATATCTTCCACACTGAGATCTGAGATAATACTTCTCTTATGGAGAAGGCAGAAGCCAGTGCTGACACACAAATACAACAGACATACAAATACTGTAATTACAGATAAACATATCTACAATGTACCTGGATAAATCGATGAAGGTAAAACTCAATTTATGAAGAGATGTGCTTCTAAAAGTTTCCTTGTAAATGTAATCATTTTATTTTGTATTTTTTAACTTTTTTTTTAACATTTTTATTTATTTTTGAGACACAGAGAGAGACAGAGCACCAGCAGGGGAGGGGCAGAGAGAGAGGAGGAGACACAGAATCTGAAGCAGGCTCCAGGCTCTGAGTTGTCAGCACAGAGCCTGATGCGGGGCTCAAACCCACGAACCGTGAGATCATGACCTGAGCCAAAGTCACCTGCTTAACTGACTGAGCCACCCAGGTGCCCCAAATCTAATTATTTTAACTGAAATATCTACTATATTATCCAAGGATCTTCACTAAATCTTTTTTTTTCTCCTTCATAATGAACTACTTAAGTCCCACTATATGGAAAATTCCTCGTGTAATATAAATTGTCCCATTTTATATATATTATAAGTTTTTAATATGGTACAGACATTTTCTTAAAGAACAAATATCATCTGTTTTAAAAGCAAATACAATTAGATTGGAAAATAAAGGTGAAAGATTTTACATAATATCAAGATGGAATAGCAAAAAATTAAAAGGCTGACATTTGTCTTATCTTTTTTAACCACCTCTATGAGGCATACTTAATTTGGGCAGACCACTCAGATGCCACTTGTAGTTATACTTAATCTAGGGCAGTGGTTCTTAATTCTGTTACATAAAAGTGTAAGGGAGAAATAATCACGGGACTTCTTTGAGAATCTGATGAGAGCTATGAACTGACTTACTCCCAAGAACACTGCTCACATACACATACCAAAAAACAATTTCACACACTTAACCCAAGGGATTTCTAAATCCCTGGCAACATCTCAGTGAAGAATCCCGTCTAGAAAGGGGAAGGGAAAGTGGCATTACAGTATCAATTCAAAAGCTTCTAGAAATATAGGAAGAAAATAAATAGTACATATATACTGTGTGCCAAACACTAAGCTGGGCTTTCTCATTTACTCTTTGTAACAACCGTGTGAAGTAGCTATTTTACAGCCATTTTACAGTTGTGAACCCGAGATTTAAAGAAATACAGTGACTCACTCAAGGTCAGACAACTCATTTGGGTACTGCAGTGGGTAGAAGCCTGTCTGACTCCACAGTACTTTTTCCA